CCCCAAAACCCCAAAACCCCAAAACCCCAAAACCCCAAAACCCCGTATTTTATAATAAAGATGGATTATAATATTATTATTATAAAAAGCATCTTTAGGAATCCAAGTAAATTACTCACGCTTTTCATAATCAAAGTGAGAGATGGTCTTGAAGTAGCTCTCGTAGAGTCCTTTCCAGTATCCCTGACTTTCCATATGCATTTGCTCGATTCTCCATTCTTTAATATCTGTGAAGATCTTGCCATCGATCTGGAAGAAACGCACTGCATTTCTGAATTCATTTAAGTGTAATGGACCCATCTCTACGTTGTAGCATTTTGGAGATTCGATCATTTCTGGGGTAACTTTGTGGTTGAAGTAAGACTCTTGAGTAGCAGCGCAAATCTTGACCCCATTCCTGATCTTGTGGCCATCAAATTTCATGAAAAGCCTTGGGATAGCAATGTCATGGGGTGGTATAAAGTAACCAGAGTTAGCATATCTGAATGAAGTATACTCTGATGGTCTGAACCACTCAGTGTATCCATCAATCATTACCATCACATTAGCTTCATCTGTATTATATAACTGATGAACGATTTCAGCAATAGCACAGGTAGCTTGTTCAGGATGCTCAATTCCGTAATCAGCAATCTCTAGCAGTGTCTTTGGCTCTTTAACAAAGTGAGAGATTCTCTCAAGCATTTTTGGAGTGTCCTTAGTGATCTGTTTCAGCTCAAATTCAGTGAGATGCTCTTTCCATGCATCATTCCAAACTCGTCTTTTTGAGTCATACTCTCTGAAGTATTTAATTCCATTCTCATCAGTATGACAAGTAGCAAGCTCGTTGTCGTGAACACCAGTTTTGTCCATTTTTCCATAGATATTAAGATTTACAGGCATTTTCTCAAAATGAGCAAGATTTGAAATTCTAAGATCCTCCAAAAGCTCCTTAGCAAGTTGTTCTTGGACATAAAGGCCGTTAATATGTCTCTCAATTTTAACTCTGTTGTCAGTAAACTTTCTTGCTCTTGGAATGCTTATTACAACCCAGTTGTTCTCGTGAGCCCAGGCAGTAGCATAGGCCAAGGTGCCAGATTTACCAGACCCTGATCTTCCCCACACAAAACAACCTGTGTTGAATCCCTTAAAGCCTTGCAGGGAGTATTCTCTCATGTCTTCAGGTCTCCAGAAATGGAAGCAATATTTCTGATGACCCTGCAGATAAATTTTGTATTTCTTCTCATCATGGATCATCTCTGAATACTCAGTCAAATCTCCTAGATCTGCCTTAGTCAAAGTGATTTCAAGAATACGTCTCAATTCAATCACATCTTTGAGTTCTTTAAGGAAAATATCTTTTGACTCAAAGAGCTCCTCTAACATGTCGGTGAAGTCATTCATAATCTTCTTTCTAGTTGGCTGGTAAAGAATGAAATTCCTGATAGGCTTCTTACGAAGTTCTCTTAGCAAGATGCCTACTACACCATCGAAGATGGAAGGGCTGTCATAGACTTTGCTAAGGTCTTCAGGGTCTCTCTCTTTCATTACATCCAAGAGGTCGAGGCAGAAGTCCTGGTAAAGCTGTACAAACATGACTTCATCCTTCAAGATCTCTTTCATATCTGAGCTTCTCTTGATCAAGTCTTCATAGTTAATTTTCCTATCTTTTGGGAGAGTTTTTCTGGCAAGATCATAAGTTAACTTCAGGTTCTCCTCAGTGCACATGAGAGCATAGATATTCCTTCTGTTGAAATCATTGTGATCAAACTGTCCAGGAGACTCTCTGGGAAACATTCTCTTCCAGTGGGATTCTGGGAAAATAGTGTATTTTCCAATAGTGTCAAAAGTATGGTAACTCAATCCTTCTCCATCATAACTGTAGAACATATTTTCCCTGTCCTCATACTCATCATAGGTCAATGGCTTCCTAATAACCTTGATGGGCTCAAATGGATCAAGATTGCTAGGAGATGCGATGAAATCTTCTGCCTTCTCTTCCAATTTCTCGAGATCATCTTTCCTGACCATATAAGCTTCATAGATTTCCTTCTTATCAGCACTATTGCCAAAAGTGTCAATATACTTGGCTAGCAGGGTTCTTTCGATACTTTCCTCTATCTTTGGGAGGATCTCCTTTGTTGCTTCGTAAAAAGTATCAGTAGCACTCTTTGGCGTCTCTACTTCTTTCAAAATAGGCCTCTTAATGGTATGTCTCTTGTTCTTACCAGGCATGAGCCTTAAGATTTGCTCAGTCATTCCCATTGAGTTAATGATCCTGTCTTTCCCCTTGTTGAAGGCTAACCTCATTTATGGTATTTAATTTTATATAATTTTTCTCCCATAAATTTTGTGGGGTTTTGGGGTTTTGGGGTTTTGGGGTTTTGGGGTTTTGGGGTTTTGGGG